GTCTCCCACTCCTCTTTCTATTCTGGTTAGAGCCAGTTTGCGCTGTTCTGTGAAGGGAGTAGTACACAGCGTTGTACGAGATCTTCAGTTTCTTTGCAATTTCTCGCATGGAATAGCCTTCATTTCTCAGAACAAGAATAGACTGACGAGTTTCAGAAGAAAGTTATTTGTTTCTGGCCATTTTGAGCCTGTAATTGAACCCACAATTGCTGATGCTCCAGATACTCAACTAGTCTCAAGAAGGCCAGTTTATTGCTTCTTTAATCAGCACAACAGTTTTCAGCTGTGCTAACATAATTCCAAAAGGGTTTTCTAATAATCAATTAGCCTTTTAAAATGATAAACCTGGATTAGCAAACACAACGTGCCATTGGAACACAGGACTGATGGTTGCTGATAATGGGCCTCTGTACGCCTATGTAGATATTCATAAAAAATCAGCCGTTTCCAGCTACAATAGCCATTTACAATATTAACAATGTCTACACTGTATTTCTAATCAATTTGATGTTATTTTAATGGACAAGAAAATTGCTTTTCTTTCAAAAACAAGGACATTTCTAAGTGATCCCAAACTTTTGAACGGTAGTGTGTGTAATATTTATATATATATATATATATATATATATATATATATATATATACAATTTCATGTACTGTACCAGTGAAAAGTTTGGACACACATACTCATTCAAGGGTTTTTCTTTATTTTTACTAATTTCTACAGTATCGAATAATAGTGAAAACATAACAACTATGAAATAACACATATGGAATCATGTAGTAAACAAAAAAGTGTTAAACAAATCCAAATATATTTTATATTTTAGATTCTTCAAAGTAGCCACCCTTTGCCTTGATGACAGCTTTGCACACTCTTGGCATTCTCTCAACCAGCTTCACCTGGAATGCTTTTCCAACAGTCATGAAGGAGTTCCCACATATGCTGAGCACTTGTTGGCTGCTTTTCCTTCACTCTGCTGTCCAACTCATCCCAAACCATCTCAATTGGGTTGAGGTCGTGTGATTGTGGAGGCCAGGTCATCTGATGCAGCACTCCATCACTTTCCTTTGTGGTCAAATAGCCCTTACACAGCCTGGAGGTGTGTTGGATCATTGTCCTGTTGAAAAACAAATGATAGTCCTACTAAGCGCAAACCAGATGGGATGGTGTATCGCTGCAGAATGTTGTTGTAGCCATGCTGGTTAAGTGTGCCTTGAATTCTAAATAAATCACAGACAGTGTCACCAGCAAAGCACACCCACACCATCACACCTCCTCCTGCTTCACGGTGGGAACCACACATGCAGAGATCATCTGTTCACCTACTCTACGTCTCACAAAGACACAGCGGTTGGAACCAAAAATCTCAAATTTGGACTCATCAGACCAAAGGACAGATTTCCACTGGTCTAATGTCCATCGCTCGTGTTTCTTGGCCCAAGCAAGTCTCTTCTTCTTATTGGTGTCCTTTAGTAGTGATTTCTTTGCAGCAATTCGACCATGAAGGCCTGATTCATGCAGTCTCCTCTGAACAGTTGATGTTGAGATGTGTCTATTACTTGAACTCTGTGAAGCATTTATTTGGGCTGCAGTTTCTGAGGTGCAGTTAACTCTAATGAACTTATCCTCTGCAGCAGAGGTAACTCTGGGTCTTCCTTTCCTGTGGCAGTCCTTATGAGAGCCAGTTTCATCATAGTGCTTGATGGTTTTTGCGACTGCACTTGACATTTTCCGGATTGACTGACCTTCATGTCTTCAAGTAATGATGGACTGTCGTTTCTCTTTGCTTATTTGAGCTGTTCTTGCCATAATATGGACTTGGTCTTTTACCAAATAGTGCTATCTTCTGTATACCAACCCTACCTTGTCACAACACAACTGATTGGCTCAAACGCATTAAGAAGGAAACAAATTAACTTTTAAGAAGGCACACCTGTTAATTGAAATGCATTCCAGGTGACTACCTCATGAAGCTGGTTGAGAGAATGCCAAGAGTGTGCAAAGCTGTCATTAAGGCAAAGGTTGGCTACTTTGAAGAATCTCAAAAACAAAATATATTTTGATTTGTTTACTCTTTTTTTGGTTAGTACATGATTCCATATGTGTTATTTCATAGTTTTGATGTCTTCACTATTATTCTACAATCTAGAACATATTAAAAATAAAGAAAAACCCTGGAATGAGTAGGTGTGTCCAAACATGTATGTATGTATGTATTAAAGACCCATGTGACATTGTCACATTCCTTCATTTGTCTAAAGCAGGATCATCTTTTTGGAATGTTATTTTGTCTATTGTATCTTATGTTGTCTGAAATGTATGCATGCATACATCTATGTTTTTTTGGTGTTTTATTTTAAAGATTATTTGGAAAAGCCACCACCCAATATGAAGGCAGGGGTCTCAATCAGGAACCTTGTGAAGATCTATAAAACGGGGAAAAAGCTTGCCGTGGATGGACTTACTGTGGACTTCTACGAGAATCACATCACCTCTTTCCTTGGTCACAATGGGGCAGGAAAAACAACCACTATGTAAGTAACATAATAATACAAATGGATTGAATTTATGTAGTACTTTCCCAGGTGCTCAAAGCTTTAGCACTTGACATTGTATGGGGGCAACTCACCTCATCCACTGCCAATGTGTAACCTGGTTGATGCCACGGCCCAGCAGCCATTTTGCCCCAGAAAGCTCAGCACACATACAAACTGTCAGCTCTCCATGGTTACACATTACATAGTGCTTTTCAGAGCCGTAACACTGCTTACACAAAGTTGATTGTGTGTGTTGGTTCATGCTGCAATCTGCCTGTCTACAACATTTTACATTTTAGTCATTTAGCAGACGCTCTTATCCAGAGCGACTTACAGTTAGTGAGTGCATACATTTTTCATACTGGCCCCCCGTGGGAAACGAACCCACAACCCTGGCATTGCAAGCGCCATGCTCTACCAACTGAGCTACACGGGGCCAATGGCAATATCAAACTCTTAGCTCTGTTGCATTCAAAGTTTAATCCTTTCATCAAATAACTTTGGCATCGCTCTCAGCTCATGGTGTTAGCACTAAGGCCACAACTCAGGTTGAGGCTAGCCTTCTGAGAGTACAATAAAGTAAGTTAGCAGCAGTGCAGGGATGGAAGGGGGAGTCATTTAATTGCCGGTCGAAAAAGGAGTGCAAGAGGTTAGGTAAGGTTAAGACGGCACAAAATGAAGACCGTCAACAAGGCCAGAGATTGAGTGAGGGAAAGAGAGAAAATGGGAGGGGGGATGAAGAGGAGGAAGAAGAAGAGAGTGGGTGGGGACTGTGAGAGCGAGGGAGAGAAAAGGAGACAGGGAAAGATGGAGAATGTGTGGGTAGAGGGAGAGAGAAAGAGAGGGAGAGAGAAACCTGAAGAAGACAACAGGTCTCAGCTGAGAAAGCGGAATGAAAGGCAGAATTGGAGCGAGGGAGCCAAGCATGATGAGTAAAGGAAAGGACGGGCAAGTACTGAGTCACCATCTAACACCAGTTGAATGTTGTGTCCACAAAGCTCTTTGTGATTTTAAGTGTGGCAATACGATATCAAAGTACTAAAAACAACTTTATTGCACTTGAAAAAGAAATGAAATGAAAGATTTCTCAAGGCATTGTTGATTTGCACATTTGCACTCAGTTTTGAGTTGCATCTAAACTAAACTAAAATGTTAAGGCAACATGTAAATTGTTGGTCCCATGTTTCATGAGCTGAAATAGAAAATCCCAGGAATGTTCCATACGCACAAAAAGCTTATTTTTCACAAATTCTGTGCACAAATTTGTTTACATCCCCATTAGTGAGCATTTCTCCTTTGCCAGTAAAATCCATCCACCTGACAGATGTGGCATATCAAGAAGCTGTTTAAACAGCATGATCATTACACAGGTGCACCTTGTGCTAGGGACAATAAAATGCAACCTTAAAATGTGCAGTTTTGTCACACAACACAATGCCACAGATGTCTCAAGTTTTGAGGGAGCGTGCAATTGGCATGCTGACTGCAGCAATGTCCACCAGAGCTGTTGCCAGATAATTTAATGTTAATTTCTCTACCATAAGCTGCCCAACGTCGTTTTAGAGAATTTGGCAGTACATCCAACCGGCCTCACAACCGCAGATCACGTGTAACCAAGCCAGCCCAGGACCTCCACTTCCTTTTTCTTCACCTGCAGGATCATCTGAGGAGGGGGAGGGGGGTTGCTGAGGAGTATTTCTGTGTGTAATATAGCCCTTTTGTGGGGGAAAACTAATTCTGATTCGCTGGGCCTGGCTGTCAAGTGGGTGGGCCCCCCATGGCTGCGCCCCTGCCCAGTCATGTGAAATCCATAGATTAGGGACAAATGAATTTATTTCAATTAATTGATTTCCTTATATGAATTTTAACTCGTTAAAATCTTTGAAATTGTTGTATGTTGCGTTTATATTTTTGTTCAGTATAGTTCATTTCACTCCAATTTATTCTATAAATAATATACAAAGTTTGCACATCTTGCTATTACTTTATGATGAGTTTGAAAGATGACTAACTGCTAGTGGAAAGTGAGTGGGAATTGACGGGTTATAATGTTTTCACAAGTTGATTAGAGCTAATTCACTTTTTAAAGATGCTACTTCATTGCAACTGTAATGTTGTAGCATGTCTAACTTCACAATTATATAGTCAATGTGAATGTTATTGATTGATTAGCCCACCATGATACATGTTGTTGATTAGTTCTTATATGCTGGGAAATTGATGTCTGTTTCCACCTCCACTTGTTTTTTTTGTTTTTTTTTAACTTCCAGATTTTTATAATCCAAATCATGAAAATGCGGTTATTTAAGATATACATACAATTATATTCATATTTGTAGATTAATTTAATTCTACCCTATGTATTTATTAAGGTTTTCAATTCTGTTTCCAGGGACACGGAAGTGAAAATGAAGTCACACTTTCCCAGCACATTTTCTTGTTCTCCTGTTATCCTATAGGTCGATCTTGACGGGACTCTTCGCTCCGACATCGGGGACCGCTCTAATAAATGGTTACGATGTCCGCACGGACATGGACACCATTAGGAAGCGTCTGGGAATGTGCCCTCAGCACAACGTCTTGTTCAATGAGTAAGTTGCATTCAACAGGTGGATCGATGTTGTTCAATCGCCTCTTCAATCACCTCTCAATATCCCAGCGGGCAAAACTGGTTGTAATGACGTCACTATGTCATGGTCAGGTTGTATACTGGTTGTATAAGGGACAGTTCGAAATGTACTGGGGGTGGGGTCTGGTCCAACTCGAGGTGTCATAAAAAAAAATGCATCCCCCTCCCCAACGTAAAATGTATTTTCACATGACCCTCCCCTTGTACTGTAGTGTCAGTATTACTCATGAAACATGAGTCACAGGCTGCCATTGTTGGATATGTCCTCTCATAACCGGGTTCTCTTCCATTTTCCCCTCTGCTGAGTGATCACCTGTGATCTCCGATGCCTCACGTCTCTTACATCATGATTATGACTGAGTACCGGCGAATTATGGCCATTAATATTTATCCCAACAGAACTGAAGTGTCTATATTTAAACTGGGGCTCTCAATATTCATGCAAACGGGAGGTAGACACTAAAACGTACGCACAGATATGCCCGCCGGCATGGCAGTCAAGATGATTCCATAGAAGTTTGTGACATGTTATGAATGGAGTCGGCTCGCTGGAGTGGAATCAGTGGTGTCAGAGTTGTGTGGATTGTATTAACGTGACAGATTGAGAGTTGATGATGGTGCTTATTAGGCGCTAATAAGTCATCTATGAATCATGAAGGACCATATAAAATTGGGTAATTAAGATCTTGTTAGAGGAGTCCAAGTTCATTTGAAGCCTAGTTCAGGAGAGACTATCCCGTGTAACTTGAAGTACACTGAAATAACATACATAGTCAAACTTTTTCAATTATTATAGTCACTTGAGTCTGGAAATGCAGAAAATATTGGATCCACTTTTTGTACATTGGACAAAAAAATTGTATTTTGTGTCGATTCTGTGCCTAATTCCACACACTTGTATTTGGTATTCATTCTGCTGTTGATAAATCAAATAATTGTTTCTTAATTGTATTTCTGATTCTTAGCCTTACAGTGGAGGAGCACATATACTTCTACGCCAGATTAAAGGGACGAAGCCGTGATGAAGTGGAAACGGAGATGGACCAGATGATCAAGGATGTCGGGCTGCCGCACAAACGCAAGGAACTTGCCAAGAACCTGTCAGGTGGGTGTGTGTGTGCGCGTGCAAATATTTGTGTTCTTGGGATCTATATGTATCGTGGGATTACAATCATGCACAAATGTAGCTTTTATTCAATTTTCAATAAGTAGCTCTCTCCCCCAGCCACCACTTGTCAAACCGCGTGTATGTACGTGCCTGTGTGTGCGCGGGCGTGTGTGTGACTGTGGAAATGCACCTCTGAATGTGTGTTCAGGTGTATAATCCATTGTCTGGGGAGCAACAAATATCCTTGATAAATTGGTTCCAGTCATGGGTTGCATGTGAACAAAATCACTGAAATATGACTTTCAAGGTACATCTAGTCAGATACTTCCACAACACAGGACACATTCACAACAGCTCCCAGAGTGTCCTGTCTTGTGTGTCATCGTCTTATGCAGCTTTCTGTCATATATACATTTGACGCTGCACAAAAGACAATAAAACATGCTCACAGACTCTCTGACACATGCACACATACATGCACACACACATGCACAGTCTTACATCAAAACATATGGATTCCTCATAACCATGTACAGACCATTGCATTGCACAATATCTCATATCTACTGCTGAGATGTCTATGATAAAATAAGGTTTCTTCACCATTTGTGTATCGGCTTGTTATAAGGGCTCTGTACATGTCAATACATGGAAGGTGTGATATTCACACTGGCAATAACACTATAGCTATCAATAGTAGAAATGTTATACTTATCTGTTTCATGTGCTTGTTGTTCTATCTGTAACAAAATGTCAAACGGACCATTAGCCAGGGGCGGTGTGTTCATTAGGGCGATATGGGCGACGCACTGCCAAACGGGAAAAGGAAGGGATTTTTTTTCTAATCAATTATATCACGGCAACAGTAGTTATCAGTGTTCTAATCTAGACGTCTGATCTGCCACTAAATGTCCAATCAGGCTAAAGTCGTGCTTCAAATGGCCCCGCCCCTTTTGGGGCGATTTCAGTCAGGTTGAAAATCGTCCCAGAAGTCTCTCATAGACTCTCATGTAAAATCTTTTTTTTTTCAAATATCAGAGCTTCAATACAATCTCTATGGGTTCCGGGAGGGCTTGCACTTACGCGCTTTCATCATACGTAACATAAGTAACCATGAACATAACTAAGAAAAGAGCGGGTAGCAGCTTCAATCAATTCACGTACTACTGTCAAGATGGCTAGCTTTCCGAGGCAAAGATGAAACTGAGGGCTCCACCAACCCTGGTATTTTTCTTGGACTTGTCAACTTTGTGGCACAATTAGATGAGGTGTTTGATGACCATCTTAAAAATGCTAAAGTTTTCAAGGGCACATCAAAGACCATTCAAAACGAGCTACTGGAGTGTATGCTAGCGGTCATGAGGGAACATATTGTGGAGGAGGTGAAGTCGGCGAACTTCGTAGCTATCCAAGCTGACGAGACCACGGACGTTTCTACACAGACACAGCTGGTGCTTGTGCTGAGGTACATAGATAGCAACCACAAAGTGCAGGAGCGCTTTTTTGAGTTCCTTCCCATCTCGGAATCAACCTCAGTCTCAATCGCCAGTGTGCTTTTGGAGAGACTGAACGGTCTTTTTGCCGACGACGAGAAAGTCAAACTCATTGCGCAAGCTTACGATGGAGCCAGTGTGATGAGGGGAGAGAAGGCTGGTGTGCAGCAAAAGGTGCGTGAGCATTTAAAGAATGCCCATTACGTGCATTGCTATGCGCATCAGCTGAATTTGATCATGCAGCAAGCTACTTCTCGCATCAAAAAAGTAACTAGTAAACTAGTCCTCAGCATGCCTGATTTCAAAGAGAAAGTCATTGACTGCTTTGCTGCATTGAAAGAGAGAAGAGAACAGTTTCAGTACAAGTAATGTAGCCTCTCTCTCTCTTTGTCCCTCCCTGTCTGTCTCTTTAACACACACACGCCCAAATCAGTTCACAGTTGATGTTGTTTAAAATAGTTATTTTTCATTTAAAAAAAAGTAAAAAATAAATAAAATCTGTTCATGTTCATTTTTACAAATCTATACAAATGGCCAGAATATGGTTGTTCATATTTACAAATCTATACAATTGGCCAGAATATGGTTGTTCATTTTTACAAAGCCATACAGATAGCTGTGTTTACCTTTTCTAGAAATTATTTTCAAATTCTGTTTTCAGGCAAAATGTCTATCACTGTTCATTTTCACAAATCTATACAAGAGGGCAGAATATGGAAGTCTATAAAAATGTCTTATTACCAATAACTTGCATCAATGTTTTCAGTAGCCTCTATCAAAAGCTCCTGCTTGCTTGTTGTGAATTATGCTCAGGTGCACATATTTCCAATTCAACCATGAGGCCTTTTTGAAGCAAGTAATGTGTATATCAGTATTGACTTATATGCTGCCCCTGTCTTCATGTTGTTGCTGGACATATCTTTTTTTAAATGTGTGTAGGTCACCTAAATCATCAGAAAAATTGCCCCCCCTGAGAATTTTTTCAGGAGCCGCCACTGCCATTAGCTACATACCTAGCCATTCTATGACACAGTATTTTCCTATCCTTATTGAGAAAGAACCCTGGTGGTTTTGATTTCAACCAAAAACGTAACCTTTATGAAAGGAAAAAACGGATAAACTGTAAATGTTTTCATGACCAACACTCAAACACAGTAAAGGAAGAAATTGATCAGAATGAACAGTGATATATGCTTTTTAAATGTCAAAATCGATCAGGCCTTTGGTAAATTCTAGTTTTAATTTCAGTCTGTGGGTTCTCGTTCCTTCCCTGTATTGATCAATAAGGTCATTGATTAGCTAGGAAGTCTACACACCTGGTTTTCAGGTCTAAATCAGACTCTCATTTAAAGGAATGGAAAGAACCTGCAGAGGTCGATTTGGAATTGGGCCTGTATGTTCTCTGAAGGGCACATGAAGTCCTACCTTATAGGTACCTATTACCCTATACCTATCAAATGCTTTAAGATCCACACAGGTGCTAGGGTGTAGGGGTCAGGGGTCGATTTGGAATAGGGGATGTGTTTCCTTTGAAGGGAGCAGGAAGTGTGTCCTTTGAAGGGGGAAGAAAATGTATCCTTTGAAGGGGGCAGAAAGTGTGTCCTTTGAAGGGGGCAGAAAGTGACCATACGTAAACTGTATCCTCAGGGGGAATGCAGAGGAAACTGTCGGTGGCCATCGCATTCGTGGGAGGATCCAACATCATCATCCTGGATGAACCCACAGCAGGGGTGGACCCGTACGCCCGGAGGGGGATATGGGAACTACTGTTGAAGTACAAAAAAGGTATGGGATCTGTCGGTCGAATACAAATCAAATCAAATACCAAACCACTGTTGAGCTCCAAAGGCTATAGACTATGTATGATGTTGTTTGGAGTGTCGACTTGAAGTATTTATTCTGGGTCTTATCTCTGAACACATTTCTCAGGTATGGACCAAGGTACATCAGCTTACAGGAAAACCCAGAGTTAAATACATCTAAAACATCCTGAGTGAGGCCTAATATTGTTGTTCACTAGTTTACTCCAATTAGGGAAGGGGTGGTGGGGTTGGAAAGTAATAAAGGGAAATATATTTTTTTAAAGGATATGTGTATATATATATGTGTGTATATGTATTTATATGTATGTATACAGCTCTGGAAAAAATTAAGAGACCACTGCAAAAATATAAGTTTCTCTGGTTTTACTATTTATAGGTATGTGTTTGGGTGAAATTAACATTTTTGTTTTATTCTATAAACTACTGACAACATTTCTCCCAAATTCCAAATAAAAATATTGTCATTTAGAGCATTTATTTGCAGAAAATGACAACTGGTCAAAATAACAAAAAAGATGCAGTGTTGTCAGACCTCGAAGAAAATAAGTTCATGTTCATTTTTAAACAACACAGTACTAATGTTTTAACTTAGGAACAGTTCAGAAATCAATATTTGGTGGAATAACCCTGATTTTCAATCACAGCTTTCATGCGTCTTGGCATGCTCTCCACCAGTCTTTCACATTGATGTTGGGTGACTTCATGCCACTCCTGGCGCAAAAATTCAAGCAGCTCGGCTTTGTTTGATGGCTTGTGACCATCCATCTTCCAAGTTTTCAATGGGGTTCAGGTCTGGAGATTGGGCAGGGTCTTGATCTGGTGGTCCTCCATCCACACCTTGATTGACCTGGCTGTGTGGCATTGTCCTGCTGGAAAAACCAATCCTCAGAGTTGGGGAACAATGTCAGAGCAAAAGGAAGCAAGTTTTCTTCCAGGACAACCTTGTACATGGCTTGATTCATGCGTCCTTCACAAAGACAAAACTGCCCGATTCCAGCCTTGCTGAAGCACCCCCAGATCATCACCGATCCTCCACCAAATTTCACAGTGGGTGCGAGACACTGTGGCTTGTAGGCCTCTCCAGGTCTCCGTCTAACCATTAGACAACCAGGTGTTGGGCAAAGCTGAAAATTGGACTCATCAGAGAAGATTACCTTACTCCAGTCCTCTACGGTCCAATCCTTGTGGTCTTTTGCAAACCTCAGCCTGGCTTTTCTTTGCTTCTCATTAATGAAGGGCTTTTTTTCTAGCTTTGCACGACTTCAGCCCTGCCCCTAGGAGCTTTTTTTTCGAACCGTCCTCGCCATGCACTTCACCCCAGCTGCCGTTTTCCATTCTTTTTGTAGGTCACTAGATGTCATCCTACGGTTGTTGAGTGACATTCGAATGAGTTGGCGGTCATCCCGTTCAGTAGAGAGTAGTTTTCGCCCTCTGCCGGTCTGTAGCTTTGTTGTCCCCAATGTCTGCTGCTTGACCTTGTTCTTATGAACCGCCGTCTTTGACATTTTAAGGATGGAAGCAACCTGACGCTCACTGTATCCCTCTGCCAGTAAAGCCAGAATTGAACCCTTTTTTTCCTCACTCATAACTTTCCTTTTCAACTCTTTTGGCATGGTCAATAGTTATTTTTTGATTAATATTACTTTTGAGGTACTATTAGCACAGTTTTTGCCATCCAGCTGGTCCCATTGCAAGAGGATAGTGATGACCACAGCAGTGGTTTTTATACTTTTCCTCGTTAAATAAGATTTGGTTCAGATGATCACCTAATCAGTACCTAAGTCATTTGCGAGAAATGAAAACATATGGGGGATTGGAAGTGATGCAGACAATTACATTGATGGAAGTTACAATCTATCTGCAAGATTAAAGCTGATCTACTCCCAAAACAATAAAAAAAAAAAATGTAAAAAAAAAATAATAATAATAATAATAATAATAATAATAATAATAATTATGGATTTTTTTTCAATGTAAAAAATAAATAAACATCCTGAGTGACACGATTTTGTATAAAAAAATAATATAGTCAAAGTAGAGGCCTGTGAGGCTCACAGTTCCAAAAATGCAACATTCCCTAAATTGCATCCTGTACAGATCTAAGTAAAAGCATGTCAAACATTACCTAACATGATGCATCTCCTTAGACCCAGATGTATCTCTTAGTAGTATTGTTGTGTGTCAGTATGATTATTGTGGCATCAGTAGCCTCTGAAATATTAGAAACCTGTCCACTCATCTGAGACCATACTGGTCCCCTACACAAGCATATGTTGTAAGCCATTTATGCAAGTACATGACTTGAAATATTATTTTTATGTCTTCTGTAAGATGTAGTGATTTTGTAGAAAAAAAGGAATTGAGAAACAAACATCTAGCCTGTGATAGAGGTAGTTTTGTACATGTTGCAAAAAGGCAACAATGGGATTAAAGGGTCGCTAAACTGAGGCATAGGGCCACATTCATATATTGATAGACAAGTTAGAGATTGTTTCCCTTCCAAATTCTGCAAATATGGACAACCAAATACTTAAAGAGTAATTTTGATGTTCCCTCTACCCATCAAAAGAACAACATTAAATACAGTAAAACAAATAATTGAGGTCAGAATATTGCGTTGACGACCATTCATTTTATGGTAAAGTAAGATAAGAGGTTATCTCTCCAGGTTTAGCCAGAAAGGACAAACAAATAATTCTAAAAGTAAGTTATAGGTTCTCCATACAAAAAAAAAGATAGTTGATGCTTTCAAAAATATATGTTTTGGATTGGTCAAGTTTATACACTTTTGTAATTTCAGACAAAGTGTTACTTCATTTCAGATGTACATACACTACATGACCAAAGGTATGTGGACACCTGCTCGTCGAACATCTCATTCCAAAATCATGGGCATTAATATGGAGTTGGTCCCCCTTTCCTGCTATAACAGCCTCCACTCTTCTGGGAAGGCTTTCCACTAGATGTTGGAACATTGCTGTGGGGACTTACTTCCATTCAGCCACAAGAGCATTAGTGAGGTCGGTTACTGATGTTGGGCGATTAGGCCAGGCTCACAGTCAGCGTTCCAATTTATCCCAAAGGTGTTCAATGGGGTTGAGGTCAGGGCTCTGTGCAGACCAGTCAAGTTGGAATATAATGACATTCTAGACAGAATGGTCTAGAATGTCATTGTATGCTGTAGCGTTAAGATCTCCCTTCACTGGAAATAAGGGGCCTAGTCCGAACCATGAAAAACAGCCCAAGACCATTATTCCTCCTCCACCAAACTTTATAGTTGGCACTATGCATTCGGGCAGGTAGCGTTCTCCTGGCATCCGTCAAACCCAGATTCGTCCGTCTGACTGTCAGATGGTGAAGCGTGATTCATCACTCCAGATAATGTGTTTCCACTGCTCCAGAGTCCAATGGCGGCGAGCTTTACACCACTCCAGCCGACGCTTGGCATTGCGCATAGTGATCTTAGGCTTGTGTGCGGCTGCTCTGCCATGGAAACCCATTTCATGAAGATCCCGACAAACAGTTATTGTACTGATGTTGCTTCTAGAGTCAGTTTGGAACTTGGCATTGAGTGTTGCAACCGAGGACAGACGATTTTTACGCATTACACGCTTCAGCACTCGCCGGTCCTGTTCTGTGAGCTTGTGTGGCCTACCACCTCACGGCTGAGCCGTTGTTGCTCCTAGATGTTTCCACTTCACAATAACAGCACTTACAGTTGACCGGGGCAGCTCTAGCAGGGCAGAAATTTGACGAACTGACTTGTTGGAAAGGTGGCATCCTATGACTGTGCCATGTTCGAAGTTACTGAGCTCTTCAGTAAGACCATTCTACGGCCAGTGTTTGTCTATGGAGATTGCATGGCTGTGTGCTCGATTTTATACACCTGTCAGCAACGGGTGTGGCTGAAATAGCCGAATCCACTAATTTGAATCCACTAATTTGAAGCCGAATCCACATACTTCTTTATATATAGTGTATCATTACACAACACTTTCCATCACATATCAATGCTTTTGATCCATTTTGATGTGATTTTTTTTTGTGTTTATTATTTTTTTTTTTTTGGGGACCGTTTTCTTATCACAACATGTTCATACCATTGAAGCGCAATGTGGCATTTTTGCAACATTTCCAGAAAATTGTTCTGTAAACGTGAAATTCTACATACAGATTTTTTCATAATCAGAGGCCTATTACAAGTATTTCTGAAGGGTAATAACATTTTTAAAACATTTGGATCTATACTTGGGTCTCACATGGTTTTAATGAACGCTCTAGTTCAATTAGCACTTAATTTATTTCGTTTTAATGACCCTTTTTTCTGAGATGCTTTTGCTTATGTGGCAATGACATAGCTGTCTTCACAGTATTGTCATGTAGACTGATAGTGATGACTAGATGACAGCGATAATAATGCATCTGAGACGCATCCAATTCGATAACACAGTTAACACGCTCGTTAATTGTTTACATATTAAATTGCTTGTCACTTTCTAGCCCGCACTTTCTCTGTTTGCCCAGGCTAGACAATGACTGAAAGGCAAGACGTGGACATTATAATAACACATTTCCTACAGATGTCTAAGTGTTTAATGTGCATTGAGTGGCATTTCGTCCTCGTTACGTCATTAGCAGTGTTCTAATCAAGTCCGATTCAGAGCTTGAGATAACTCTCATTTAATGAGAACATTCACATCCATAATAGTTAAGTGAGTCATACTGTATCAGGTCTTATTGGCACCACAATGTTGATAATGGTGCTAAAGTTGGTCACTGGAACAAATTGCATTGAGAGTGTATTTGTTTGAAACCAAACCAAGGTGATATATTGCATTTTTAACTTCCTTGGCTAATTGGTTTGCTGTTTCTAGAAAAAGTGTGCAGAGAATGTCCACGTTTCGGGTTGTTTGAACTACTATTGGTTCTGTTATACTTTTGTTGTTTGTCTTTCTGAT